AGAGAGGAAGGGGCGATGCATGGAGCGTCAGGCTGATCAGCTGGGCGTCGGCAACGTCGGTGGCGTTTTTCTAACAGCCGGAGGCCAGCAATTAACTGGAGCGGCAGGCGCCCGCCGCGCAGCGAGCTTTCCAAGCCCGGGGGGGTTGCCTGAAGGGTTGCAAGATGTGTCGGGCACCCCCTGAAGATCTCTGGGACGTCGCCAGGCTCTTTCGGGGGCTGGCGACAAGGGCGCGGGGGCAGCGGTGATGGCGGTTGCTGTGGAGGCAAGCTGACGGTCAGACGGCGCTGGGGACCCCCCCCCTTTGGAAAAGGAGCTGGGGGGGCAACAAACCAACAGGACTGGGAGACCTGCAACCACGGTTGGGGTGAAAAAGACCCGGAGTGACCTTCGGGGCCCTGGGAGGCCTCAATTTGTGGTTGTGGGGGGGGGGCTGGGGGCTCGAGAAAACTGCCCCATTTCTGCCCCATTTCTCTCTCCCCCAGCGTTCCCTCTTTAGAACTGGGCCCACCTGGACCAACTGTCAGCCTGTGGGACTCATTGGCACTATGCTCTATTACTATTCTGAACCCCCCTGACTCTGGAGAGGGCTATTTCCACCTGAATGGGAGACCGGTACATGGCTGCATCCCGTCGGCTGAGGGGGCTAGACATTGCCTGACCACCGTGAGAGGGTGGCCAGGTGTCAGAGCCCCTGGGGGCTAAACCGGGACGCTTTTTTACATATATGCACTTTACCAGCTTTCTACATATATGCACTTTACCAGCAAGGGGACTTTACCAGCAAGGGGACTTTACCATCGGTCTTTACCACTGGACAAAACGCCGTGAGAGGGCGATTTTTGGACCTGACCCCCGGACGCTGTCTATATGCATCGGTTCATTGCTGCCACCCCACCACAAGAGGGGGCTGTCCAGCTGACCTAACCACCGTGAGAGGGTGGTTGGATCTATTTCCCCCTTGGAATTGTGGTCGTCTTGGCTTTGGACTATGTCCTCTGTTGTGAGGGGACAGGGGACTTGGTCCTGCAAATATGTCTCTGAGATTTCCCCCATCTCTTTGTCTTCTCCTCGGTCCTTTATATACACCCTCAGGATATGGTCGTGTCACCCATTATGATTAATGTACTCAGCAGCGGAGCTTCTTGGTCTGCGAGACTCCCCCCTCTCGCAGGCTTGGCCCTCCATTCTATCGAGGGCCTACCTCGATGACAGGCTCTGGAGTCCTGAGAGGTGGCATGCCGCAAAGAGGGGGCTGCGGGGTTTTTTAAAATTGTCCTTGTTTAAACTTTTAAGGGGTTCTGGGAGGGGGGAGGGGGGTGGGATTGGAATTAGGGTTGTGGGTTTGGGGGATAACCCACTAGGGGGAGAGTCGGGCTTGGCCAGGACGTTCGGCGGGGGGGGGATCCGGAGGGGGTCGAGCTGGTCCAGACTGCGTTTCTACCACCGGTACTGTGTGTGGGAGAGGTAGATATGGCGGGAGCAGGGGGCCATATCATGTTAAGGGAGCACGCACCCGCTGTCTTCAAGCGGTAGAGTGCTCCGGCCCCCAAGGCTCCACCCGTTCTCCAGGTAGTTCAGACCTCCAGGGCCCGGGCCTTCGCCTGATGTTGTGCAACGCCAGGTCTGTAGTAAATAAAGCCCCCCTCATTTGTGATCTTGTTTACGAGGGGGGAGCGGACCTGGCGGGTATTACGGAGACCTGGCTGGGCCCAGAGGGAGGGGTCCCTCTGGTAGAAATGTGCCCACCAGGTTTCCACGCATTCCATCAGCCAAGGTCGCAGGGGAGGGGCGGGGGAGTAGCGGTTATTATTAGAGAAGTCCTTAGGCCGAGGGAGACCACTGTACCTCAGACAGCTGGTTGTGAGTCCCTCCTTGTGAAGTGGGGCCATGGGGTTCAGATGGGCTTGCTGATCACGTACCTGGCTCACTGCCACGTGGCGGCAGCCCTGCCCGAGCTACTCAACGTTATTGCCGCGGTGGCGGTTGATACCCCCAGACTTATGGTCATGGGGGATTTCAACCTGCCATCCGTGGGTGAGGCGTCTGAGGTGGCTCGGGAGTTCATGGCTTCCATGACGGCCATGGACCTGACCCAACTAATTCATGGCCCTACGCACACTGGGGGAAACACACTGGACTTGGTTTTTGTCTCTGGACAGTGGTTGAGTGATCTCGAGATAGGGGATATAGTCATCGAGCCCTTGTCATGGTCAGATCACTCGCTCCTTCACCTTGACCTTCGAACCGCGGCACCCCGCTGCAGGGAGGCGGAACCGGTAAGATGGTACCGCCCCAGGTGCCTGATGGAACCTGATAGGTTCCAGATGGAGCTTGGGCCAATCCCGGAGGTTCTGGCTCACGCCTCATCTGGGGACCTAGAGGCCGCCTGGGATAGGGCGGCTGCTGGAGCCCTGGATCGAGTCGTGCCTTTGCGGCCTCTGACCCGGCGCCGATCTCGCCTGGCTCCTTGGTTCACCGAGGAGCTGAGGGAGATGAAGCGCCGGAAAAGACGCCTAGAGAGCTGTTGGAGGGCTAGTCTTTCTGAATCTGACCGAACACTGGTAAGATCTCATATTAGGAATTACCTAGTGGCGATAAAAGCAGCAAAATGTTCTCATTTTGCTGCTCTTATTGCGTCATCAGATAATCGCCCGGCCACCCTGTTTAGGGTGACCCGCTCCCTGCTCCACCAGGAAGCGCGGGAGGACCCCTTGGAGGGAAGAGCCGAGGATTTTGTTCAGTATCTGTATGACAAAATCACTCAGATTCGGGCAGGTCTGGACTCTGACGGGATAGATCCAGAGAGGGTGATGGAGACAGGTCTTGAGACTGTTATCTGGGATGAGTTTGATCCTGTGACCCCAGATGACGTGGACAGGATTCTGGGTAGATTGAACACGACCACATGTTTGTTGGACCCGTGTCCCTCCTGGTTAGTGCTGGCTTCCCGGGAGGTGACGCGAGGCTGGCTCCAGGGGATTATAAATGCTTCATTGGGTGAGGGTGTCTTTCCCGCCACCCTGAAAGAGGCGGTGGTAAGGCCTCTCCTCAAGAAGCCTTCCCTGGACCCGGCAGTATTGGCTAATTATCGTCCAGTCTCCAACCTTTGCTTCGTTGCGAAGGTTGTTGAGAGTGTGGTTGCGCGACAGCTACCCCAGTACCTGGATGAAGCGTCGTATCTAGATCCGTTCCAGTCGGGCTTCAGACCTGGGTACAGCATGGAAACGGCATTGGTCGCGTTGGTTGATGATCTCTGGAGGGCTCGGGACAGGGGTTGTTCCTCTGTCCTGGTCCTGTTAGACCTCTCAGCGGCTTTTGATACCATCGACCATGGTATCATGCTGCACCGGCTGGAAGGGTTGGGGGTGGGAGGCACCGTTTTACGGTGGTTCTCCTCCTTTCTCTCTGACTGGTCGCAGTCTGTGTTGACAGGGGGGCAGAGATCGACCCCGAGGCCCCTTATATGTGGGGTGCCGCAGGGATCGGTTCTCTCGCCCCTTCTGTTCAACATTTATGTAAAGCCGCTGGGCGAGATCATCTGTGGTTTCGGGGTGAAGTACCATCTGTACGCTGACGACACCCAGCTGTACATCTCCACCCCGGATCACCCCAACAATGCCCTTGAAGTGATGTCCCAGTGCCTGGAGGCCGTACGGATCTGGATGGGGAGAAATGGGCTCAGGCTCAACCCATCCAAGACCAAGTGGCTGTGGTTTCCGACGTCCCGATATAGTCAGCTGGCGCCATCGCTGGCTATTGGGGGCGAATCATTGGCCCCCACGGAAAGGGCTCGTAACTTGGGCGTCCTCCTGGACTCACGGCTGTCTTTAGAAGACCACTTGACGGCCGTGACCGGAAGGATTTTTCATCAGGTTCGCCTGATTCGCCAGTTACGTCCCTTTCTAGATCGGGACTCGTTACGCACAGTCACTCATGCCCTCGTCACCTCTCGTCTGGACTGTTGTAATGCTCTCTACATGGGGCTCCCCTTGAGGTGCACCCGGAGGCTCCAACTGGCGCAGAGTGCGGCCGCGCGGGTGGTTATGGGAGCAACATGGAGCTCCCATGTAACACCTCTCCTGCGCGAGCTGCACTGGCTCCCGGTGGTCTTCCGGGTGCGCTTCAAGGTTCTGGTTACCACCTTTAAAGCGCTCCATGGCTTAGGACCTGGTTATTTACGGGACCGCCTACTACCACCAACAGCCTCCCACCGACCAGTACGCTCCCACAGAGAAGGGCTCCTCCAGGTGCTGTCGGCCAAACAATGTCGGCTGTCGGCCCCTAGGGGGAGAGCCTTCTCTGTGGGGGCACCGACGATCTGGAATGAGCTCCCCCCAGAGATACGGAGGATCCCAGATCTGCGCACCTTCCGCCGCGAGTTGAAGACGCTTTTATTTCATCAAGCGGGCCTCGCCTAAATCTTCTCCCTTTTAAGTGTAAATTTTAAATTTTTAATGTATCTTAAAATTATGGGTATTTTAAATTATGGGTATTAATTCAGCCAAATTTATTTAATTCATTTTATTTGATTTTAAATTTTGTATATCTATGTGTTTTATTTCATGGCTGTACACCGCCCTGAGTCCTTCGGGAGTAGGGCGGTATAGAAATTCAATAAATAATAATAAAAATAATAATAATAATAGACAGTATCACTTCCCCTTTTCCCCCAAAGACATCCACACAATCAATTACAAGGACTGAACAATCCTGTTACACTGGATATTATAAATAATGTAGTTTGCATAAGAAGAAGGATACTGATTCAGTCAACCATATTGACCTGTAGAACTGTCAAAGTTTTACAGAGAAGGAAGCATGAAGCACAAATAAATAGGTATAAAACAATTTCATAAATTTATATGCTAATAACTTCATCTGTGTAGATTCCTCTTAACCTCTTGCATATTATTTTCTTTCTTGCCTTCCTGAATATTTATTTCTTCTTTTAATTTTGTCAGTAAGAGATATCTAATCCATAAAAATATGAAATTTACCTGAACAGACTTCTTCATATGTCGGATTTGGGGTATATCCTCCTGCATAACCTACTTGAGTAGAGTAGACGCCTTTCTGCTTCCAGAATTTCTTCTCTGCCCCCCAGAAACAGCCCATCCCTGCAATAAATGTAAACAAATATAATACTAATGAAGCTGAGTTGCTTACATTATATATAGAATAAAATAGAATTCTTAACCAGCCAAGGAATTTGTCTCCTGTGCATAAGCTCTCAGTGTACATGCAAGTGACAAGTGATAATTCATGATCATAATCATAAAATACAATCATACATCATAAGATACAACACTCAGTGATAGTCATAGGATACTAAATAAAGCAATCAACATAAATCATAAGATACAAACAACAAGTTATATATCAAATATATAAATGATATAATAATAATGTATTTATTCTTAATAGCATATGGTGATACTTTTCATTTTGTCTCACTAGAGATTTTTATATTGGTGTATTAAAAGGTATTAAAAGGTCTCTTTGTGTTTACTGAACAAACAAAAATAAAATATTTATGACAATTTAACTATAGACCCCTGTTTTAGGGAAACAATTATATTTGGATTTCCCTTTCAATTAAATTAAAATGTTACTAGTATGGAATTTTAAAGATTTCAATAAAAAATAATATCTTGACCCGCATAATGCAGATGAAAATGTCCTTTGAACATCAAGTAATTCATGGGAAAACTCTTTTTCTGAAAAAGCACTCATATATTCAGTAAGATGTCTTTTCCTCTTTTTTATTGCCTGACAAGCTTTTTCCTTTGTAATTCACAAAAGCTCATGCTCTTAAGTAATGTTAGTGTTTAACAAAAATAACTTAGGCTAGTTAAAGACATGACAGTTAAACAACATGTAAAAATTGACCAGCATTAAGCTAGATGTTTGTACTTTAGGGTATTATACAAATTTGGTTAGCTTACTATCTAACATACTGAAATGAAATGAAATAAGTTTATTCCATTATCAACATGATAATTTGACAACTCTATATTTAAATTTGATTTCTGGATTGAAATATGAAGCTAACTGAATAGGAAAAATTTAAAACGCTTTTCAAAAACTCAAGTATTAAAAGTGCTGATACTCCCTAATTTTAGATGCTGCACTTTATCAAAAATTGCTTACAAAATACAGAACCTTTAGTGAAAAGACCACATCCATATAACACCTTTAGGTAGGTTAAAAGGCAATCATACATATTTTTACAGCATAATTTTCTTTTAGTTGATTAGCAAACTGTCAAAACATAGTAATCTGTATTAATGGCAAACATTCATTTAATGTTCTGCTTCCTGGCATCTGCAATCTTTAGAGGTGGCAGAACAATAATTAACTAAATTAGAGCTCATGCAGGAAGGAGGTGGGAAAAGCCCTCTCAGCCTAGTCAATTCATGTATGCAAATAATATATAAAGTGCATACCAAAATGACGTATTTATTCACTGACATGACCAGTCTGCAGGTATAATAGTTATTGGCAAATAACTTCCTTATAAATGATCTTGTAGTCTCAGAAATCATTCTATGAACTTGAAATCTCCCAAATGGTACTAAATTAACAGCAAGTAGAGATAAGAGCCTTTCTGAATCCATATTGCATTGACAGATACTCGTTTCCCCCCGAAAATCAGACCGGGTCTTATTTTCTTTTGGGCCCCAAAATAAGCACTAGAGCTTATTTTCAAGGGGGTCCTATTCCCCCCCCCCCCCGGTGTATGGGAGGCCACTTCTTCTGTTTGCTCACAGTGGAGCAGGAGACCGTGAAATATGCACGAGGCAGGAGGTGTGGAGTGCCCCACATGCCCGCACCAGCTTACCCTCAGGGTGCCTGCAGCCAGCCCACCCATGCCCTGACACCTGCCTCACCTAGCAGCCAACACACCGCTCAGTTTCCTGCTCTGTTCCAGCCACAAGCAAGCAGAAGAAGTGGGCTGGCGGCCATGTGGGCTCCTCCTGCACATGGTTACTGGTGCTGCCACCGCGAGGCAGGTGTCAGGGCATGGATGGCATTGCTGTGGGGGCCTGAGGTAAGGCAGTACAGGGCATGTGGGACAGTTCCAGCATCACTCTGTGTAACCTTGTGACCGTGGCACCGCAAGCAACCAGATGGAATGGCCGGGAGCTGAATGTGCAGGGTCTTAAGTAGGGCTTAATTGGGGGGTGGGCAGGACTTATATTAGGCGCACACGTAAAAAAACACACTAGGGCTTATTATCAGGATAAATCTTATTTTCGGGAAAACAGGCTATTAACATTTTTGGACTAGAAAATATATACCAACAAGGAAAATTCATAAAACATCTCAAAAACAGCTTCATTTAGTAGCCATTAAAATTATCTTGAATGTTGTCCTAAATACCATGAGAGGGTGGTTTGGCTTGAGCCCCTCGGGCTGAGTCGTTATGGTTTTGCTCACCATTTGTAATTTGCCAGCAGAGGGGATTGACCATCAGACCAATCCACCGTGAGAGGGTGGTTTGGTCCTTAACCCCTTGGACTGTGTTTGATACTTTGGCATTGGTTCACTACTTCCATCTCACCAGTAGAGGGGACTGTCCATCAGACCAATCACTGTGAGGGAGTGGTTGGATTGTATTCCCCTTGAACTGTGTCGACTTGGCAAGAGACTTTGTCCACTGTTGTGAGAGGACAGTGGCCTTGGACCTTAGTTAGACTTTGGATGCCCCCATCTTATTTGCTCCCCCCTGGACTTTTTTATTTACCATCTGGACCCTTGGGACTTGGTCACTTCATCCTCTTGTAGCAAAATGTATTCGGCAGCTGAGCTTCTTGTTCTGTGAGACTCCCCCCTCTCGCAGGTTTGGCCCTCCACTCTATCGAGGGCCTACCTTGATGACGGGCTTTGGAACCCCGAGAGGTGGCATGGTGCGAGAAGGGGGTTGAGGGGTTTTTTAGCTAAATTTTTAATCAAAATTTTAAGGGGACCCGGGAGGAAGGGAGGGGGCTATAAAAGTGGACCCGGGAGGGTTCAGATAGCGACTGAGCGGGGTGATGGGTCGATTGGCTGCAACAGAGGGGTCGTGAAAGGAAATTTAACCGGGGAGCAGGGGGACGATAGGAAGGGCAGTGTAATTGAAATAATGAGTGGGAGGGGCAGGTATGATGGGCGCAGGGGGCCATATCATGTGCTGGGGGTGCGTACACGCTGTTTACGAGCAATTACGCACTCCGGCCCCCAATGTGCAACTCGTGTCCTGGGTTGCACAGAGTCTCAGGCCCAGGGTCTGCGGCTGATGTTGTGTAATGCCAGGTTGGTTGTTAATAAGGCCCCCCTCATTTGTGATCTTATTTTGGAGGGGTGTGTGGACTTGGCAGGTATTACGGAGACCTGGTTGGGCCAAGAGGGGGGGTCCCCCTCATTGAAATGTGCCCACCAGGTTTCCGTGCATTTCATCAGCCAAGGGCCCAGGGGAGGGGTGGGGGAGTGGCGGTGATTATTAGGGAAAGTCTTTGTCCGAGGGAGACCACTGTTCCTCAGATAGCCGGATGTGAGTCCCTTTTTGTGAAGTGGGGCCGTGGGGTACAGATGGGTTTGCTGATTACACACCTTGGTCCCTGCCACGTGGCAGCGACCCTGCCCGAGCTACTCGACATCATTGCCGGGGTAGCGGTTGATACCCCCAGACTTATTGTCATGGGGGATTTCAACCTTCCGTCTGCAGGTGAGGCATCAGAGGTGGCTCGGGAGTTCATGGCTTCCATGACGGCCATGGACCTGACCCAGTTAGTTCAAGGCCCAACTCACATAGGGGGACACACTCTGGATCTGATTTTTGTCTCTGGTCAATGGTTGAATGATCTTGGTAGAGGGCACCTAGACATCAAACCCTTGTCATGGACAGATCATTCGCTCCTTCACTTGGACTTTCCTACCGCTTCCCCCCACCGCAGGGAGATGGAACCGACCAGATGGTTCCGTCCCAGGCGCTTGATGGACCCCAAAAGGTTCCTGACGGAGCTTGGGCCGTTCCCTGAGACTCTGGCACACGACTCGACTGAAGATCTGGTGGCCGCCTGGGAGAGTGCGGCCGCCAGAGCTTTGGACCGCGTCGTGCCTTTGCGGCCTCTGACCCGATGCCGATCTCAATTGGCTCCTTGGTTCTCTGAGGAGCTGAGAGAGATGAAGCATCGGAAAAGACGCCTAGAGAGCATTTGGAGGACTAGTCAATCCGATTCCGACCGGACACAGGTGAGGTCTTATATCAAGACCTACCTAGTGGCGATAAAAGCGGCAAAATCTAACCATTTTTCCGCTCTTATCGCATCTGCAGAGAACCACCCAGCCGCCCTGTTTAGGGTAACCCACTCCCTTCTTCGGGGGGGAGTGCGGGAAGATCCCTTGCAGGGTCGTGCTGAGAATTTTGTGCAATTCCTGCATGATAAAGTCGCTCGGATTTGGGAGGGCTTGGACTCCAATTGGATGTGTCCAGGGGAGGAGACAAGGGCAGGTCTTGAGAATATTATCTGGGAGGAGTTTGATCCTGTGGCTCCCGAGGATGTGGACAGGGTTCTGGGTAAGATTAGTGCCGCCACGTGTTTATTGGACCTGTGTCCCTCCTGGTTGGTACTGGCCTCCCGGGAGGTTACACGAGGCTGGCTCCAGGGAATTATAAGTGCTTCTCTGAGAGAGGGTGTCTTTCCTGCCGCCTTGAAAGAGGCGGTAGTGAGGCCCCTCCTCAAGAAGCCTTCCCTGGACCCGGCTGAATTAGCTAACTACCATCCAGTCTCCAACCTTCGTTTTGTGGCGAAGGTTGTTGAGAGCGTGGTGGCACGACAGCTTCCCCGGCACCTGGATGAAGCTATCTATCTGGACCCATACCAGTCGGGCTTCAGGCAGGGGTACAGCACTGAAATGGCATTGGTCGCGTTGGTGGATGATCTCTGGCGGGCTCGGGACAGAGGCTGCTCCTCTGTCCTAGTCCTATTAGATCTCTCAGCGGCTTTTGATACCATTGACCATGGTATCATGCTGCAGCAGTTGACAGGGTTAGGAATAGGGGGCACCGTTCTGCGGTGGTTCTCCTCCTTCCTCTCCGACCGCTCGCAGTTCGTGTTGACAGGGGGGCAGAAGT